CCCAGCGCATTTCGGGCTCAAAGTGAATGTGGTGGTAGACGCAAGTGCGCACTCCTGGTGCTCCTCGTCCTGCCCCGACTAACGAGTCTCGCAGTGAAGACACAAGCAGTCTACCGCGGGCAGACTACCTGGGTCGTCGCATGGCGGCGAGACCGGTCTACGATATCCAGAGACACACCCTTGACGCTTTCTATCCAATCGCTGTCGTTACCGTGTCATCCACCAACCGGTGGCATGCCAGACTGCTTTTGCATTTACTCAGCCAGGCCAAGGTTCTCCTCAGCAGGAACCACACGGACGGTGTTGGTGTGGCCCATACCGCCGCGCCATCCCTGGACACAGACGATGTTGTCACCCTTGTTGATGATGCCGAGCTTGAGGGCGTGGTTGATACCCCACTTGAGACGGCGGTCAACATCCTCCTGCCAGACCTTGACGTTGAAGTCGGGCTTCTTCTCGGGGAAGAGGAAGGGCCAGACACCACGGTACAGGTGAGAGTACTGGATTCGACACGTTAGCACACGACTCTCGAAACAACACTAGCTTCTCGACTTACCCGGGAGGCAGCGGGGTTACGGGTGACCATGACAATGGGGCAGACGGGGCGGTACTTGGAAAGGTAGCGAGCAGTTTTACCGCTGCAGATCTGTCAGCAATCATCCTACCCAACTGGATATATCCAAATGGAAGCGTCGCTACATACCTGGTGGTCAAGACGACAATGGCACCGGCGTTGAGTTCCAGACTGGCGCTAACGGCAGCCATGGCGATGGACTCGACAGTGTCGGTGGGGCGAGGAGCAAGGTTGCGGAGCTCATCGAACACGTTGAAGTGAGGGATGGCAACCTCGGCGAGCAGGCAGGTCTCGGACATCATCTTGACGGCCTCGTTGGGGTAGTTACCCTTGGCGGTCTCACCCGACAGCATGACACAGTCGGCACCGTCAAGGACGGCGTTGGCAACATCGGACACCTCGGCACGAGTGGGACGAGGGTTGTATGTCATGGACTCGAGCATCTGAGTGGCACAGATGACGGGCTTACCCTTGATGTTACACTTGGCGATCATCATCTTCTGGGCGATGAAGACCTTGGGGGCGGGGATCTCGATACCAAGGTCACCACGGGCAACCATGACACCGTCAGTCTCCTCGAGGATCTCATCGAAGTTGTTGACACCCTGCTGGTTCTCAATCTTGGCAATGATCTGGATCTCCTTGCCCTCCTCACCCAGAACCTCACGAATGTGGCGGATGTCGCTACCGCGGCGGATGAAAGAAGCGAAGACCATGTCGACCTTGTTCTTAACACCGAACTTGAGATCGGCAATGTCCTTCTCGGAAAGGGCGGGGAGGTCAACGTCAGTGCCAGGCAAGTTAACACCCTTGCGGGAAGAGATGTTGCCGTTGTTCAAGCAGCGGACGCGGATGGTCTTGTCGTCTACGACTTCGATGACCTCGAAGGAAAGGATACCGTCATCAACATAGATGAGCTTGCCAGGAGAGATCACCTTGGTGATGTTCTTGTAGTCGAGGTACCTACAAGACGACTGGTTAGCGGAGTCCGTGCACAGACAAGTCTGGGCTGGTCTCCCGATCCACTTGCAGGGTCGGAAGAACACGGGGAGGAGCCTTACATGTTCTTGTCGTCGGAGGCGGTGGCATATTGATCATCGGTGGTGATGTTGAGCTCGTGGCCCTGCTTGATAGGGATATCCCTATCATCGGGGGTGTTTCCGGTACGGATCTCGGGACCTTTCTACGGAGGAGTTAATTTCTAGGATCGCGACCGGCCAAGGGGACCCGAACTTACGGTATCAAGAGCAATGGCGAGAGGACGTCCGACCTGGGTCTTGGCGGCCTCACGGGCGTTGTCGATAACGGATTGGTGGTACTGGGGCGGGTCAACATACTGTCATGTGCCAATGCACGGATGGGGACCGTTCTTACCTCATAGGAACCGTGGGAGAAGTTCATGCGAACAACGTTAAGACCGGCTGCAAGCTAGTCAGCTGATTGAGACCTTCCAGAGTGAATAGGTTTTATCGGTCGTACCAGTGCGGAGAGAGTTGATCTTCTCCACGGAGTTGGTCTTGGGGCCTAAAGAAAAATCAGAGGTTAGCTTGGATAAGGTCAAATGCGCGGTGTGAGGTCCTCATGAAGTGAGGACAATCGCGACGACTCAACTGGCAGGAACATACCGATGGTGCCGATGATGGAAGTGCGGCGGAAGTTCTTGGAGGGCACCATCTCAGTGTTGAGCTTGGAGTGCCACTCCAACTTCATGCGGTTGCTCAGGTGGTCGAGGGAAGAGCTGGCGGCCATCTTGACGGATGATTGATCTCTACTGAACTAACAGGAAAGACAGAAGAAAAAGGGATTGATGGAAGATGGAAGAGAGAATGGAGAGAGAAGAGAAGAGAGGAAAGAGGAGAAGAGGGAGAGATAATAGGGAAGGAAAAGACGGGGCCGGTGAGCGAGAGAAGAGAGAGATGGTGGACTAGAGGAGGGGTGCCCGGGAAGGAAAAATGTTGGCGGCGGTGATTGGCTGGATCGGCCCTTTTTGGTGGGATTCCTGCTTTGGGACACTTTTTTCTGTCGGTCGGTTCCCCGCGGGTTGAGAGAGCAGAGCAATCAGTACTCCGTACTTAGTTTAGTTGTGCCTCCTGCTACGGAGTAGTTACAATCACACTTCTCATCGCCTACCTAATTCCCATTATTAATGACTTTTTCCTCCCCGGCACTATCGCTGGGTATCAAAACTCAATAATTTGCTTCGTGATCCACCTTTCACTGCTTTTGCTTCTATTCTTTGATCGGTACTCCGTAGATACACCCTGCTGCCTCTGTCCGCGCTTTTCACTGGTCAGCCAAGGGTTTCCGCCCAGCGATCAGCAGCAGCATTTGTCCACTTCATCCTCAGGCACCTGCTTCCGCGCATCTCAGGCATTCATACGCCGCATGCAATATTCATTGGTTGGGGAAGATCCAAAAGCAATTCAAGCCCAAGCCACAATCTGGCAGATACACCTACTATCTCTCTATCTATCTACTACTAACTTTGTCAAAAGTAGAAATCTGGCAGGACCACATGATCCCCTTCCTCACTGTCCAGTTGACCCCACATGGTCGCGGATCCATTCTCTCCTAGCGAGGTGGATTTGATGTCTTTGTCGGTGCTGAGTTTTCTCTCCCTCCTCGCCAAAAAAGCGCCCATTTTCCCCTTTCCCTTCGCAAGAACTATTTCCCTGACTCCATCGGAATCCATAAGGCTGAATTTTGCTCTGCTCGGATGGACCCAGTTGCCAGTTATGGAGAAGCTGTCTTGATTTTTTTGCTCTTTTGTGGGTAAGCAATCTCACTTAAGGTAGTAAATAATTTACTCGGAGGTTTTCTCTTCCTGTTGGAAATTCTTAACTCCGAAGGTGTGCCGATGCCTTTACTTGGAGATAAATAGTTGGGTTAGGATAGGAGCAGCACCTTAACCACATATATCCGAAGTGAAGCTTGGTAGTTATCTTGGCCTATTATGCTCAATATTATTATGTAAGTCGTCATATGAAACATCCATGGTCGTTGCATTGATATTCATCTTTTCCGTGATTGGACACCCTAAGCGCAGACAGCAAGTAGTAAAGGTACTCAATACTACCTACTTAAACCATTTCCTCACTACTACCGCACAAGTACCTTTTACCTACAGAGTACATGAATTACGAATTCCGATCTACACCTACCGGGCACCTGATACTATCACCACAATCACCCCGTCCCGACTCAGCCCCCGGTGAATGCTACTATGGATAATCTGCAATATGCATGCTAGGCCATTCCACTCCGTAACTACAAAGCCCGCCGTCGGCTCGGCACACTTCCTCTTACAAGGTAACTATACTTAGCACAGATGCATACTACTTAATATGATATAGTCTGCAGAGCCAAGCCCCAGTTATCTTCATTCATTCCCCTTCTCGGTAGTGTTTCATCCTGCATCCACCCGCTCAGCTATTATTTGCAAAGTACGTACTGCCGACTTGGCGGTGATGTGATTGCGTACTCTCTACGGAGTACTCTGTAGTTTAGGTCAGTTTTGTTTAGATTGGTTTCGGACTTCGGAGAATGAATGAATGAATGCATGCATGCATGCTGATCTGTTTAGTATTGATGGATGTTTGCTCAGATTTGCTTTTTGGGTTGAGTTGGTTTAGTTGTTGGGATGGCATGCCAAGTGGGAGTGTGGGCGGTATTTATGATCCATCCTATCTCTAGCTCAATTCCGGAGTAGTATTTCTGAAGTGATAGAATACTTCATACATAAGTAGTAGGTAAATAGGTAGACACTGCCCCTCTTTATCCTCTACTACTTATGAGCAGCAGTAACAGAATGGTCGCTCGGTTCGGCTAGCTAGCTAGCTAGCTGTCCACCTCACTAACCACTCCAGCCACTCCAACCCAGCCACCCAATTGACCCATGACCAACCCAGCCCAGCCTCGCTCACCGCCTCGCACCAATCAGTCGCCCACGTCATGTGAAAGCCACGTGAACTGGATGACTTCCTCCGTGGGGTGACCTGATACCTACCTACCTACCTGTACCTATCTTTCTTTTTTTTTCTCTATTGCCCACTCACAAAGGAAACTCCCCACGCCCATAGCCTTCACTATCCCTATTGATACAATCCGTTGCTGCGAAGCACTCAAACCTGTCAGATTATCATCCCCAAATCTTCCTGTCATCATGGTATGTCACAGACCCCCAAACACGACCGGACCGGATATGGATGGCTAGGGATTAAGAAATAGGATGGGATATACTAATATTTATGGGTGCATTCAGCTCGGACGTCTTAGCCACTACGCATTCGATGCGGTTCTTAGTACGTACACCCTTATCCTATCCTATCTTCTCTTGTTGTTAAAGTTGGGTTTGGTTTGGATTTGAAGCTGACCTATTTTCGCAATCTAGTCTCTGCCTTCCTGGCTGGTGTGAAGCGCTCGACTGGATTAACGTAAATTCTACACCTCATTTTCTCTTTTCTTTTTTTTTTTTTTTTTCGATCACTGCGCTATCTTATCCATCCTATTTGACCGGCCAGTAAGCTAATCAGTTCATCCCGCGCACATCCCCCAAACTTTGGGGGCATCGCGTGGGGTCTTTCACAGCCCCAGTCTCAACTCCGACAAAATCACCGATAACAAGGACTTCAAGAAGTGGATCGATAACTACCTGGGTGTTGGCGAGTGGGTGATGGATCAGTCTGTGGCTGTGTTGGGTTCCACGAGCTACTTCGAGCGCAAGCGGTAAATTTATCACTGCTACTGATACATCTTAACTACCGATCGCATCGCTTTTCCTGCGTCGGAGTCGCCGGTCGGCTTACGAATGGATTTGGTTGGATCCCTTGTTGGGTGGGCATCTATGTGTGATTTGCCTGGGTTGGGCGAGTACACTACTATGTGAGGCTGGGGATTTCTGGCTGGAGGAGAATGCGATATAAGGCAAGAAAGGGATTAAAGGGTATGAACCCCGTCGCGGTTGAGGGTCTTGCTGCGATGGGTCGTTGCTCATGATTGATGATGGCATTTCGGCTCGTGTTCGAGTAGCGCAAGTCATGGCGTTGGGTATTTTGCGTTGACTGTATACCTTGATCCATGCTCCAATGGTATCTCCCCATGGAACGTTTGCATCTCTTCTCGATATGCCTGTTTGTACATAGGTTCCCTGTTGAGGGATAACTCATCTGTATCTCTGTTCTCCGCTGTTTAGCTAACAACGGCCATGTTGTGACCGGACTACCCATCCAGGTTGCTTCCGATATTTTCTTATCCACCAGGACAGTCACCGTGTGCAGGTCACTGATTAGCCTTGGAGTTATACAAGAGTATCCATTCTCAGGAGTCCAGTTCATTTCAGTGTGGTAACCTCCGCAGGACCCGCCCTTGGACCGCGAATGTGGTCTCGCAATAATGTATGCGCCTAGAGTGAAAGATTGATTGTCCCATGCAAGCCTGTGCGGGTCTATCATAGCACGTATGTGCTCGCTAACTGGATAACGTCAAGAGCGTCCACGCATGTAAAAGCCTAATCGCCAAAAAAGAACCAGGGTATGTTCTGGAAGCACCGTAGGGTATGTAATGAGTGACGTGATTCGTTCAATCGTAACTTTCGTACTATGTAAGCATCGAACCTATGTCCGGAGTAATGCATCGATGTCCAGACGACGGTAATAGGAGATATGGCCCATGGTTTCCCAATAGTGTGCTACGCACTCTGACGAAATCAGAATAAGTTGGGATGAAATAAACGTATCTAAGAACGATATTAGCATGCATAGCGAAAAGCTAGGCATTTTCAGATCAAACTTACCATCTCTGAAACCGAGGCCTGCTACATGACCCTTGCTCCGTACTATACGTGCTCCCTGGAAGAGAGCTTCCTCCGCAATGCGGACAAATCCTCCTGGGCCAATGTCATCTGCTGAGAAAGATATTTCGCCACGAGGGACGTTAGGGTCTCCAGTGAGCTTGATGGCCTCAAGGCTGCATCGCTCTTCTCCGTGATCACGTTGTAGGAAAAGGAGAAATTCGCATCCATGTGCCGAGTAATCCCCAACCCAAATGCCTTGGTATGGTTTCTTGTCTGTAGGCGTATACAGCTCGGGGTCAAGTGTAGCATAAGTCGACAGCGTCTCGCTCCGCCCAGCGGTGAAGATCGGCATACCCAATCGGAAGTGTGCCCATCTTCTAATCCGAAACGCATGCTCAGATATTTTGTCCAGCTGTGGGGGGTGGTGCTCCCACTCCGGATCAACCTCACCACGATAGACGCGGTGTTTGGTTGGAATGGTTTTAGGAGGCCATTGTTGGTTCGCCACAAGATCAGACGTTATTCGGGCGGAGCAGAGCGAGAACGAGTTGAAGACATGCTGCGTCTCGAGAGGCATAGGCATGCGGGTCTCACCGCGCAAATATAACGGCCGTCCCTCGTGATGGTTTTTCAGGAGCAAGACTGGATCATCTAACCAAAGACTGACCTTAGGATTGAAGGTTTGGATTATGACATCTGGATTCCAGTCCCAGAGTTGGAACTGGTGCGAGCGACGTTCTGCGATGACCCGGTAAGCTTCTATGACACCCCGTCGGTGATCGTAACGGGCGAGGATCAAATTTCCCGTGTGCTCGGTGTCCGAAAACCAGATCTTGTTGCGAGGTATGAACCAACAGGGATGATGGGCGATGTAAAGACTGCGAAAGGAGTCAAAGACACCTGTTGTGTGTATGGGTTCGGGAAGATTGGAGTTGATGATATTGGCCCATAAAAGTTCGTTGGTTGCATGCTCAGCGAAAGTGCGGCAGGTAATTGACAGGCGAGCGAGATCTTGAGCCGATAGGAAAGACAGTATATGCTGGACTAGCTCAGGAGGAAGGTCTAAGAATGAGGCGCTGGTTTCTCGGGGATCGTTGGAAGTTGTTTCCGATAAAGACGCCTGGAGATCGTCGTCCATCTCCACGGGTGCCTGGTTCCGTTCCTCCCAGGCCGGCTGATTGACAAGCGCAGCAGCCATCACGAGTCTCCTGGATGGAGTGAAAGCCGAGAAGCCAAGGGTGACAGGTGCAGCAGCTGATGATCTGCCAGATAGCGCTCGGAATAATTGAGTTGGGCAGTGAGCATAAGAGCAGGGTAGATAAAGTAGTCAAGGAAACAAATGGTTGACGATCTGCATACTAAGTTAGCTTCCAGTGGATTAGCGAGGGGAAGGCAAGTCCAGCTGGCCGCCCGCATGACATCACCCTTGCAGCCGCCCCGATCACCTCATCAACGGAGCTGTCCAGCCAGACGTCTAGGTAAAGAGCGGTGCATCCCTGCGAACATTGTGCGAAGCACGGGGTGACCAGTATTGATGGTGTTACCAGGAGATCTTTCATTTGACCATGGCGGTTCGCAGGAGACCTCCAAGTTGTCGTGGTGGGCTGCCGGCAGTAAGAGAAGTTGAGTTGAGGGGGAAAACGTCAATTTGGTGCTCGTCACGGGGATGGGCGATAAGATACGGAAACAATGTCTTTTATTGGCTGGTCATACAACAGATACAATACGCCTTGTCTTTTCCCTATCAATACGACATACAAGGCAGGCATTATCCGCGTGTCTCAATAATAAACTTGTCATGATCACGATTTGGAATAAAAAAACAATACGCAGCGCCTGAAATGCAAGGCAGCGGGGCAGTCAGGTGACTGGCGCAAGGGTGGGTTTGTTTACGCGATCCCAATCGGGCAATGGCCCTGTCCTTCAACGCGTCAGGAAGGCACGATGGACCCTTGCCTAATCGGGAAAAATCACAATACTCCAGTCCCGTGGTGATTGCCGTCAACTGTTGTTCCGAACTACCATCATCATTACTACTACTCTATATATCTATTGGTTTGGTCCACGGCCCTATAACATCATTATTGTCTTAGCCAAGTGTCACTTCAGCCCTTTCTTTTTCCAGGCAAGACAAATCAGGGGCTGAGAAGATTGTGCGACATTTGACTCACCCAAGTCGGACCAGTACACAATTGCCATGGACACGAGACAGGCAAAACGAAAGAGACAAAACAGCTCTTCATCTGGCCAAAAGCCCCAAGAGCCTCAAGAGCCTCCCACGCCAGTCTCGATCAGAAGGACTCGTCGCACCGAGTACTATGTTACCTCCGCCACCTCTTGCACGACCCCTCATCAGAGTAAGAAGGTTCGCTTCTCAGACCCAGGTCCCGGGCGGCAACATGGCTCTGCCCACTCGACAGGCCTCACTCCGGCCATGTTGCGTTCTTCCTTCGAAGAACGCGCAGAAGATGATCCGTTGATTCGGAGCCCAAGTCGTCGCCAGCGACGGCGCTCAACCCCTCTTCCGCGGTCTCGCCGCAGTATGGACGCTTCCGATGCTGCCAGTACAGCCTCCCCAGAACATGTAGTGCAGTTTACACCGCTGCGGCAGCTCCTAGACGCGCGGACGAAACGACGGATCCGGCGGATAGGCCTAAGTGATGAGATCAACCATCTAGAGCGCGAGAAGAGAGAATCTGCCCAGTACGAGAAGACACTCCAGACACTACTACGCGAACGAGATTCGTTGAAGACTGAATTGGATTCGGTCAAACGAAATCAAGAAGTATCCAAGAGTATAGCAACCAGCGACGAAACCACATGGCTGTCGCCACAGTCCATGATCGAACAGGTGTCGTCCGAGAATATCCGACTAAGGGAACAGCTTTCTTTCCCTTCCCCGGGTGCCACAACAGACCATGATACTATCAGCAACTCGGAGGGAGAAACAATGGTGATCAATGAGAGCGCATGGGATTGTGATACGATGCTTATATCAAACTCGCCGGATATTCGAGGCGTAGATGTCCGGATATCAGTGCCTGATAACATCTCGCTTCTGAGCCAAGGACATGCGAATACCGATGCGTCGACTCAGGCATCCATACCTGATTACAGGCAGGAGGCAGAGATTATTGCGCTTTCAGCCGATCTCGCAGCTGCCAGGAAGGAAAAGCGTGACTTGTTTGACGCTTGTCGCGCCCGTGTCGCTTCGTTTAGTGGAACTGCAATTGAAGGTCTCCTTCGCCAGTCCTCTCCGCCGCCAGACTTCTTGGATCAAGTTCTGCCTACCTTGACCCAGACGCTGCGGCGTGCTTCTGATGCCGCCCAAGCACTAGACAACGTCAAGGAAGAGTTGTCGGGTCTCGGATTTCCTGGGAACAACGCTGAGGAAATCATCTCTACGATGCGCGATCAATTTCGCGCCGCGCGCCTTCAACTCGAACGCGCAGTTCCTGGCGAGACCGCCAACGCTAGTCTCAGTGATGGCAAGGCAACTCTTGGTGCTTTGGTAAAGCGGGTTGAGATACTCGTCAAGAGCCTTGGGGACGAGCAGGAACGACTGGAAGGCTCCGTAGGCCGGGAGAACGCACTTCGGGGTCAATTCGATACCCTGTTGGCTCGATATGATGGAGCATCGAAGAAGATTCATGACTTGGAAGAGTCTATTGCCTCCTCCGCTGGAGACATGCTTCACACACGAATGCGTATGCAGGAGCTTGAATGCGAAGGAAATGAACAAGCCGTCAGCATTCAGCGGTTGAATGCAGCCCTCGACAAGTACCACGAGGAAGTCAAAGGACTAGAGGCCCTAGTAACTGAACTGGAGGATGATAAGGCGAAGAACAACGAGTCACACAAACAGGAAGTGGACGAACTGCAGCAACAGCTGGAAGAGCAGGCCCATTCCCTTCGTACTGCCGAATCAACCGTTGTGGAGCGGGAAACTCGCATCCGGGAATTAGAGGAGGCCCTTGAACAAAATCGCACCAGTGTGCGTGACCTCACAGCTAAGATTGAGTCGCTCGAAGCTGAGCGCCAGCAAACGATACAGGATCTGGAGCAAGAAGCAACGGAGCAGCAACAGCGCCTTGAACAAGAAGTGGGGTCGATGAATGTCCTCGTCTCGGAGCTCAACACGTCACTAGAGGAAGCCAAATCAGATGTTGACCGACTTCGCCGGAGTAACACTGGCCTGGAGGAGCAGCTGCGCCTCGAAGTTGAAGCAAGGGACAGCCTGCTGGATAAATGGGCTGCAGAGCAAGCGCGGTCTTTTGCTATTATGAAGGAAACCGTCAATAGCGAGCGGCGGAAAGCCAGAGTCCGCACTGCGAACTGGGAGCTACGTTCGGATGAGATCCAATCATCAGATGGTCTGAATATTGAGCCCATCACACCGGTCAGTATGACAAGATTTGTCGACGTGGAAGCTGGTCGGGGGAAACATCGTAAGCGACTAGACAGCGGGGTAGGGATACTCACCGATGACCTGGAAGATGCAGATGCTGGTATCATGCCAGAGTCGTTGCCTTCTGATCCCGCTGAGTTGCTGTAGTTCGTTTGGTACATGAGTAACACTGGAACGTTGTTCGCTATGCATGAAAAAAGTCTGCAATATATTTTGGTTAGCTATGCATGTTATTGGGATAGTCTGCTAAGTCATGTACATCAAGCCTTGGACATAATGAAATGACTTGATAGTTGTCTGTTGTGCTTCTGTAACTAGTAGCGAACGAGGGC